CTCACCTCCGAGCCACATGCATGTCTAAGATTAAAAGAAAAGACCATCTGTGAAGCTTTTCCGTATCTGCTTGATGCAACCCGATTTCAAAACCTGTAAGAATCTTAAAACTCCTGCAGAGGTAGATCAACTTTAAACACCTTCATGAATCAGAATCTCTGACTGAAGCCTGTGTGTAATTTCTGATAATCTGACATGATGCTTTGCAATGAGTTGAGCTAAAGAGATCAGAATCGTGCTAATAATGGATGTTTATGCAAAAAGGGGGCGAAACCGGACCATCAGACAAACCTTAAACCCTCAAGTAAAGCTCAAGTAAACCACATTAAAGCCTATTTCTGGCACCACAAAGGAGTGAGCAGCATTGTTCAGCTCAGCCAGACTTCAACAGGAAGGTGCCGTCTACTCTGGTTAAATGGCACAAGCTCCTCAAGAAACACAAACCATCCATCCCTGAGTATCCTGGATTGTACAGCATGAAGACATATCTGCAGAAAACAATCTTTGGAATGATCGAACACATGGATGTAAACATGCATCATAACAGAAGTTGGACTGAAAACATGCTGCTGCCTTCGCTGCTTCATCCAGCAGCTCGGTGGAAAAGTCCACTTCTAAAAGCCCAAATCAGTTTTCTCATTAGCCGAGCAGATTAATTAAGACACTATTTGTGATCTACCTCCTCTTATTACGGCGAAGCATTAAAGTCCTCCTCATTGAGACTGAAATGGGAAAAAGCCACAGGCTGCACCACCTCTTAACAATCCCCTTCGTTTCCTCATTTAGATTTGATTGGCTATGAAATGCACCAGCCTGCCGGGACTCAGGTTTCAGCATTCATCAGCACTTCCTGGTTGTAAATTGATGGCACAGATAGAGACGTACAGTACTTGCACGGGAATGCAGAAGAACATCCACAAGCACACACACACACACACACATGAGCGTGGAGTTTAAATTATGGAGTAACATCCACATCGGAGGTTCCTTTATGTTTAATGCGGCGAGCATCAAAGAGGAAGCCGGCACATGATGCAAGGTCGCGCCGGTTGTTGAGCGTCGGAGAGTTTGAACGGTCATTTCAAACCTCAAAATCTCCGCAGTCGAGCAAATCAAACGCACGTAATTCCCTCGAGTGTCCTTCAGTACGATACGAGGGCTCGACGAAGAAGAGGCACGACTGCTTCTTACTTTAATCCACCTGCACTCGACAACAAAGACGGATCTAAACGCGTCGCTCGCATTGATTCTACCGTTACGTGACTTTTCATATTTTCAAGGTTTTTGCTCTAAAAACACAATAATTGCAGCTTAAAGTGCATCTTCTTCTTTTTTTTTTTTTTATTATTCAAGTTGCTTAACAACAGCGTCTTTGGCAATAATACATCAATTTTGTATGAACTCAAAGCTGCTCTCTTGAATCCTTCGCAAACTCAATCATCAGCTGTTTGAAGCCGTGAGAGCTGTCCAGGCTTTTAAAGGCCAGCCTGAGTCTAACTGGAGGGGACAGTGAAATCTTATATGACGGCAGATTCATGTGCCAGAGTTCAGTGAATGCCAGCTTATTGCTATTGAAAAGGTCACTGGGCTAGAAGGAGAATAAAAAGTCTTTACTGGGGAGAGTGGTGTGTGTGTGTTGGTGTGTGTGTGTGTGTGATGCTGTCTTTCTTTATCGGTGACCCTGGGATGAAGGCCGCAACCTGAGATAACCATGCTCATATAAGCACCACGCCCTGGAGCTGCTGCTGCATCTCTCCCCGTCTCCCTCTCTGCTCTTGTCAGGCTTCGGTGTCCGTTACCTTCAGCACTCCAGGAAGCAGACACGAGGCTTTAAAATACACCCGCCTCCACGAGCGCAAAAAATCAATTACCAGAGAGATGAAATTCTCCGATAATGCGGCCTAATGATAATTGCCCCGAATCTGCAATGATCTGACTTATGATACAAACCACTATTGGCACTGCAGCGGCGCATTGGCAGCCGAGAGTAGCTGAAATATCAATGATAATTGTTCTGATGTTGATTCGGAGCCACGTTACTGCCTGGGGTAAACATAAACCGATTGCACAGAATTGGACTCTATGGTAAGCGGCGGGGGTCATGTTTCACTGATGCTTGTGTGATTTGTGATTAGTACAGTAGAGCAGAGGGAGGAAACGGTTATGCGGGAGCTAACCACCGCCTGTTTAATTGAAGCGCTCCTATCACGCCGGAGACACGAGGGCGACAGCGCGGCGCAAACTCCTGCTAATTCAATAAGCGATCATCAGACTGTTAAAAGGCTGGCAATAATAATTATAAACCAGAAATAGAACAGCTCCGCCGAAGCATCCGACACGGGTGACCGCTGTTTGGATTCAGACGATTCATCCGGCCGCCTGCAAAGCAAGTCGGGCGCACTTCAGGTTCAAAAGCGGATCAATCGGAGGTCACGGGGGGGAGGGAGGGAAGGCGTTCTGACAACGACCTCCCACGTAGGCCTCCCACACCTTCTAACTCACTTTACCAACCTTGGAGTGGGCCGATCACGGGAGTCAGCATTTTTCAAAAGTGCCTGAGAGACGTTGGGCTGACTACTGTGTCCTATGAATAAAACACATTAGCTACAAAACATGTTGAATTATTCACATTTCAGAGCCTCCATGCCTCCCCGCGCTGGAGATATTAGTTCTTCAGTCATCATATGCTTTGCACATAGTCCTCCGAGTCTGTGTCTCCCTCATGTTCGCTCCTTCTCGCTCCTCTCTTGATCATTTCCTCACTGTCTTTGTCATCTGTGTTTTGTTAATCCCTCTCTGTTCCCGCTGTCTCTCCTCTCAGCTGACTTTCTGCTGATGGTGACTGTCTATTTATACCCCTCAAGTTACTACTTTTCCTGGAACATCTCACTATTTATCTAAAGAGCTCTTGAAGCCGTTGAAGAGTGCATTTGTTCTGAGAGAATCTTTGATGACTTGGTAATACACGCCGGCCCAAAATGGATTCATCATTTAGCGTTAATCCGAGGCGACCAGCTGTGAGTTTCAAAGCGGAAAAAAGACCCAAAATAAGACGGAGGGTGGTTCGCTAATTAAATACTTAACCTAATATGCAACTTTTGCTCATTTTATTTTTTTTTTTTAGCTCCACCAGGAATTTTTGCGATCTTCATGATTGCGATATAATTTGCAGATCCAACGGCGCCGCAGACGACTTAAAAGGGTAAACCAATCAGCTAATCGCTGCTCTTTGTTGTGCTGTTTACAGAGAAAACGCGTCTCATGCTACACTTTCAAATCAGCATAATTTCACCAGTGTTACGTGTCAAATTTGCTCTGTGATTCAGCCTCTCGCATGTTATTCATCCCCCAGATTAAACAGAAAACAAGCTATTTGGGTAATTATTATTAAAACTACCCCTCCAAGTCAAGCGGTTTTGGTCAACTTTCAGCCAAGCAGAGTATGAAAGCAGCTAATTGGTGCTACAAAGAAAGGTATGAAGGGTCTATCTCTGTCTAAATAGACGATTTTAACTCTCTATGAAATATGTGTTGAAATAAGCATGTGCAGTAGGTGTGATGTTTATAACCTGTTAACGTCCTAAAATATACTGATTATAAGTACAGCTGAGGCAGATAAGAATGTTTTACTGTAAATAAACTATAATGTAATAAAAAAAGACCTATTATTTGTTCTAAGGGGAACAATCACAGGCATAGATTTTCAGATTTCATGCATTCGTCCTCCTTCTGAACACATTTACTCAGCGATCGAAGGTCTTTCTTTTCTCTCTGAATACCAAACACAGGTATGAGTGATACTTTTGGAATGTGCAGCAAGTTCTGAACATGATTATTAAAGTCCAGAGGGTTTTTATATGTGATTTAATTTGCTATTGATGTGAAAAGGTGCCATATGCTGATAAATCAACCCCAGCCTGTATGTGCACTGACTCAGCAGGGAACAGATAAACTGATAAAAGTTGATCTACAGGAGAATAAACTTTACATTCGATTAAAGAAAAAAATGACCAGAATGCTGTAAATTAAGCGTCTGATGCTTAATATTTCCTGGAAGAGGATCCCAAAACCGACTCCCTCTCAAAGTCCAAACAACCCACACCGATAACATGAATCCTCTGGGGGCCATTTATAAAAACAGATTCTGCAGTCTGACCATCCAGCCGACCGACTGGCCGATCACACACCACGTAGCCACACAGCTAAGCAAGAGGCAGCGGTTAGCAGCTGCATCGCACAGCATCAGGAAGCTAACGGATGAATTTCTCTCCCAAAGATGCTTCACTTCAAAGCAGCTTCGTCTCGTCTCCAAACCCGCCGCTCAAGTCCACAAATGAACATTTTTAAGGGATGATGATTTTCATGTCGTGTTTGGATCAAGGTGCTGCTGGGTGCAAGGAAACCGATGCCCCTTGTGCATTTGCACTGAAAATAATGCTCCACTTAAGTTCTCACACAGGCTGCTGTATTTTTAGTCCACCTGTGTGCACCGTGTCACCCAGAGATTGTTTGAATTTTTAGGCCACTCGCTCATCCGGCGCCGCGAACAGACAAACAGCGGCGCTACAGTAAAGTCGTACTGGGACGTCTGTTTCCTTTGAATTCAGAACAACTGAGTAAACTATATTTTTATGTGACTCTGGTGTGTGTGTGTGTGTGTGTGTGTGTGTGGGGAGTGAGGTGTGTGTGTGTTCAGTGGTAAGTCACATTGAAGACTCAGTGTTTTCTGCACCGTCAACAGCACATCAGACGGTGTTTGCAGAGCACACCGAGAAGCAGCTCTCTAAACAGCAGAACATGACGTCAGTGGGCACGAACCTCTATTTCTTCAGCCGCAGCGACGTATCTGAGGCGCACAGGCTTTTAAAAGTGTCTGTCACGGCTGCGGGGGTCAGACCGAGCTGAGCAGATACATGATACACAGCCACAGATAAGAAAGCCGCCTTGTTTGGTTGTTTTTTTTTTTGTGTGTGTGTGAAACTTTTTCAACTTTTACTCACCAGGGCACAGTACGTCTCTGGAGGGTCCCCACAGGTGATGTTGGGGGGGTCCAGAGTAACCTTCAGGTACTGGGTCATGTCTGCCGCCTCTGGCTGGCAGGCCATGTAGTCCCAGGTCAGGCCTTCGTCTGAGTAAACCTGGGACTTGCACACATCGTAGTGGCCCCAGGCTGCAGGGTAGTGCTGCATGGCCGCCTGGCACACACCAGTCCACAGCGCCTGCAGCGTCAACGCAAAATGGAAACGCATGACTGATCCTCTCCGGTGCTCCTTCTCCAGGAGCCGTATCTCCTTCTGAGGGTGTACAAACAAGGGATGGCTCTTCTACTTCCACTAACTGCAGCTTACTCAGCTGGAGTGAGGAGGCATGCCAGACTCCCTTCAGGTGGAGCGAGTTCCAAAGTCTCTTTTCTGTCCCTTTTCGGGTTTCTGGATGTCTACGAGGGACGGCAAGGTTACCGGCCCATTGAGAAGATAAGAGGAGAAGGCTGAGGGAGGGAGGAGGACGGTGGAGGAGGAGGAGGAGGAGGAAGAGGGGGGAAGGCGAGAAGGAGATAGCCCTCTGACACGCTGATAGGAAGATGAGTGACAGGTCTCCTCAGCTCGCCCGGCTGTCAATCATGGTCCTCGTCCTGCGTGACGATCTGGCACTGCGGAGAAACAGAAGAAGGAGGGGGGAGGTTGAATATATCTCCCTTATGGGAATAGACTCTGACAGTGAGAGAACATTAGCCGGGGCCGCGGCGTGGTTAAAAGGTGTATGTGAGAATAGGAGGTTGGACGGGCGCGAGAACGGGGTGCCACATCGGTGTTTGTTGTCCATCAAAACACAGAAAATCAGTAAGCGAGGCCATCAGGGTAAACTGGATCCTGCTGCTTTCACACCCTCACAACACTCAGCGGTATCGAGTCCACTGTGTTACCGCTTCCTCCTTCCCCCGCAACCCTGACACCCTCCTCACACTTCACACGACCCCAGCATCCCCACCAACGTATGGGCTGGAATGATAAAGTCGATACAGAAAGACGAAGAGCAAGGAGGAGGAAATACCACATTTTATTATTGAATTCCTCGACTATCTTCAATGTAGGAGTTACACAAAGAGAAACACGACACTACTGTACCGGTATATTGAATCAAATCCAATTTATTTCTGTAGAACCTTTTTATATAGAGGCAGTGAGTGGCAAAGTGTACATATCAATACAGTGCATTCATCCTATTGAGAGGAGCAGACACAGAGATTGTCGGCAATTGAATCGTTTCTATAATAAGTGGAGTGATGTTCATCTAAAATGTAGAAAGAAGAACGATTTAAATAAAGCTAAAAATATCGATTTGGAAGCGTCCTCGTATGATGTAACACCGGAGGAGACGTCCAACATTGTTTTTTTCTGCCTTGGACGGCGTTCAGATGTGGTTCTGCTCGTCACACACAGCTCTGAGTCGAATAGTAAAACAAACCGGTCGCATCGTCTGGTGTAGAAGCAACAACTGCTGAGAGAATATCTGTGGAGCTAAAATACTTCCAACACAACTGGTGTTTTCTTTTTTTGATCTCCCTTTTTCAGAGTTAGAGACGTGCGGATTAGTCACGGGCAGTTTTCTATTTGTGTCAAACAGCAAAAAAAAAAAAAAAGTTGTACGCACATCCTCCTGATTCACACACACACACACTCCCACAAGTAACACACACACACACATGTACATACATGCACGCCTGTATAAATATTCAAATACATGCATTTATATCTAAAAACACCAACATTAAGGCCTGCATATGATCTGATTAGGGGCATGTTTGACTGAATAAAAAGAATCAGAACCAGCTTTAATGGCCAAGTACGTACACAACATACAAGGAATTTGGTTCCGCCCATAAATTTACATGAATAATAGAAATAGGAAAATTTAAAAAATAAAATAAAGTAAAATAACTACAGAAAGAAAAAAGAATAAAATACAATAAATATTAATAAAAAAATAAACAAGACAATAAGACAAATATATACAAGAATGTACACATCCAGTAGAAAAGGTACATTAGTGCAAAATGAAAGTGCAGTTGTGGCTTGGAGTGGCTCAAAAAGGCTCCTAGTTTGCTATTAAATCAGATAATATCAGCGTAAATCTAAAATCTAAGCTTAAACTGTTTTGCTTTTTGGATGCATAAATGCTGAACGCTGTCTCACAATAAAATGTCTTAGTTAGGTTGACATGTTCTCCCCGTGCAGCGTGGTTCTCCCACATGGTCCAGAAACATGCTGAGGTTAATTGGTGATTGTAAATTGTCCGTAGGTGTGAATGTGAGTGTTCTTGGTTGTCTGTCTCTAAGTGTGGCCCTGTGATAGACTGGTTACCTGTCCAGGTGAACCTGCCTTCACCCTGAGTCAGCTGGGATACGCTCCAGCCCCCCTAGTGAGGATTAAGCGGCGTATAGATAATGGATGGATGGATGGATGTCTTGGGTAGAAAGACAACCTTTACTGTATCAACAACAACAGGAGTGATGGGAAACGGGTGACTGCATCGCTGCAATCAATCGTGCACTTAGTGAACACAGCTGCGCCTAAAGGAGCTGAAAAACAGAAGTTGCCAACATCAGGTGGATTACAGTGATGTTCAGATGGCTCCTATTGAGCACTGAAGTCCACCAGGAAGCTCACTGGAGGATCTGGTGTCATTAGCCAAACAATAAGAGATAAACGCTTGATTAAACCTGTTTAAATCTGACTTTTCTAGTAATATTTCCTTATAAATCTGGTGCTGCAGCTGCCTGTGTACACACCCAACAGGTATGGGAAAACACTGTCATACATTCTGTGCCTACCTGATCAATAAAAATCTAATAAAGAAAATATCTAAAGAGCCCATTAGCTGCCGAGGCTCCGATATGTTCACATGTGAGCGGCTGAGCGGCTGCTGTTTGGTGCCAGACAGGTAGCTCCAACCAACCAACGGCTGCCTGCTGATAGAACGCTGATAAGATCAGTAGAGGCTGAACCCAAAACAGCACATTTACGAGATTTATAAAATTAAAAACAATGAGCGCTGCTGCAGCTATCTGCTCCATAATTAATATAAAACATCTAATTACAGCAGCCTTAATTCACCTTTCAGCGGCGACGGCAGCACGAGAGCTTCCCTCAGAATAAAGTGGCCACTCTAACCCCATGTTTTCCCACTTTGCAATTTACCATAAAGCAGTCCTATATTATCACCTGGTGACTGCTTTCAAGTTTTAAAGCAGTCTCTTAAGTGGTGGGTCTGCCTGCTGCGGGAGCCGCAGCACTATATCACATACGGTGATTTACTTCATAGAGAATATAGCATCCATTTATAACTGCCAGCCGTTGTGGGCCGTGGCCTCGCTTCTCCTTTTGTCTCTTTCTTTTGAAATGCCTATTTAGACACAACCAGGCATCGGCTGTAATTTACCTGCTGCCCTTTTTTTTAAACTCATACTGTTATATTGTTGGCACTTTTAAATCTACTTTTGGAACTAACCTAAGATGTCTTTTAAATGAGGTTGTCTGCGACCTGCAGCAGCGAGCCAGGTGGCCAAGGCCGCGGATACAGCCAACCTGAAGGTTTCCTGCCTTCAAACGGCAGCCCCGGCCGAGAGTGATTGATGGGAGACCGGAGCCGGAGACGGAAAGGACAGACTTATGGACATTTTCATGCTGCTTAATCAGTCAGAGTGTGTGCGCTGACCAAACACGCCCTCCAGTCGTTGGTGATCAATTAGAGCTGCTGCACAGTGCAGACGGGGCTCTTGTTTATTGCAGAAATATTGTTAATTAGTTCAGATTGTTATTTACGATTAGATCAGATTAAATTACATTAGATTAGATTAGCATTAAATAAGAAGAATGGCAAATAATAGCTGTAAAATTGGATTATATTACCATAAACTATACATTTGATTTTTTTTATAGAGGCGTGGAGAAAAAAAATAAGAAAAACTGAGCCTGAGCACGAGCTGAATTATAAGTAATGCAAGACTGTGAAGAGGGCAATACGTAGAGAATAATACGTTAAATAGAAGTTGCATTCACATTTCCTGATACCTGAAGCAACGACGCATGTTCCAGATGATTCACTCCATTATGGAGCCGGTGATGAAATGTGGAGCTGTGATGTACACATGAAGGGGCTGCAGAGTAAAGGCCCAACACTTTGCATGTACATATGGCCGTGTGGCAACAACACTGTTTGCATTTGCCTCTCAAAATGTAAATTGGATGCATTGTACCAAACTATGGCAGCTGTGGGCTGTTGCTGTGTTCCACACGGCGCCATTCACACTCATTTCCATCTGACTGAGTGTAAATCGTCACTTTAAGGAACTGCCGAGGTCAGGGGCGAAGCTTCGGCAGCACACGAGCATGAATACAATCCGTGCAAAGCAGCAAAGGCAGCACATCCGTTAATGAAAACGTGAGGATATCGGCAGAAAAGAAAAAATAACTTGGTAAAGGTGAAGTATTCCAACACGTTATGAGATGAAAAACATTCTCCAGAACTGGATGCAAAGTGAAAAAATAAACCTATCTTATGGCAGATGTCCTGTTCAAATGAAACAATGCATTCAGTGTGAAATCCATCCCGTTGCCCAGAGACGAGCATTATCCACCGGGTTTTTTCCTTGGGATTAAATTTTGCAGAAGACGAGCGAGAAAGACAATGTAAAATCAGCGCGGGAAAAAAAAAAAAAAGAGCAAGTATTGTTAAGTCGGAGGACAGAGAAAGGAGGAAGAGGTTAAGGTGGAGAGAAGAAATGAAGCACCTTAAATGTAAAATGTAAGAATGTCAATGGGGAAGATGTCAGCAGGTGAGGAAGCAGCCAATTATCCAGGGGAACTCTTGGCACAGAGCTCCCTGTTCCCATTAAGAGACATAATATTACCGTGTTAAGAAGGAGACTAAAGAGAGGGCCGGAGAGAGAGTGTGTGTAGGTGTGTGTGTGTGTGTGTGTAGGTGTGTGTGTGTGTGTGTGTGTGTGTGTGCTTCACGTGCAACCTCTGGATAAGAAGCAGTTAGAGCCGTGGGTAATGAGACAACAAGCGCCGGCGAGGGCTTTCGATAACAAGCAATAGAGATCACAAACGCCGGGTCATTATTAGCCCACCGTCCCGGACACGGCAGCCCCCTGCCTCTCATTACTCCCCGCTTATAACCCCTCCGTCGCCCCCAAGGAGACGAGGTGAGGGAGAGGAAAAAGGAGAGCAGATGGAAGAAGTGTGGACGTGCATTTTAAGCGAGAAAAAAAAAAAAAGGTTTATTTTAGGGCAGGCCGCTTCCTCCGACCATCGATCACGGTCTGAAGACATCAGAGGAGGCGCGCTCGCAGGAAGTCTGAAATTCTTCCATGTATATTGCATCGCGGGGCGATAAACACTTTCAGGAACAGTGGGAGGTCGCTGGGTGTGAGGGAGGGTGACTTTCAGAAAAATGTATTATTTAAAACTTTAAAAATTGCTTTTTTTTCCTTCTAAATCATTGTGAGTAGAAATACTTCTGAGGGGTTGTGCACACATATTTATCTGGGTTTTTTTTACATCTTAAAACACGTGGAAAATGAATACATGAATAGATCAAAATTTAAATAATGGAACGGGGAAGAGGAACGTAGTGGTTTTAACAACTTTTTAACAATGTTTTCCACCTGTGCGTTAAAGTTTGAGAACTCTTAAAAGGGAGTGAAAATGATCTTTAAGAAACTTTTTCATTTCTTTGCTAACGTACCCCTTCTTCATCAACGAATAATCCACAATCTATGAATTGCAATGACTTTCAATTATAAACTGGACGTTTGCATTTCAGACACCTCATCTCTGTCATCCCGGTATAATAAAATAACAGCAAAATCGCCAGAAAAATACTTTAAACTGAAGCTAATTGTTAAAAAAACAATAAAATGCAACAGAATGGCTCCAAAACTCCAGCGTCAAATCACCACTGATTACTTCTGAGTGCTGCACATTTACTGCAACATCACCTACCGGCAGGATCACAGACAACTCTGGTAAACATTCACTCATTCATTGCAAGTATGAGCAACATGATTAACTATCTCTCAGATTTCTGGGTGTTTGACAGAAGTCACATGACTGCACGAGTCGACATCAGCTGGCTTCCATGTGGTCGTTACTAATTCATGCTTAGAGGTTGACCAGTTATTGCCCCATGGAGGCAAACGTACAGCTTTGTTTCCAATGATTAGTGTCTCTCTTTGGGTTTTTTTCCCATGTCTTGATAAAAAATACTTGTTGTTAAGAAGCCAAATCTTCTGGCTCAAAGCACTATTTCATATTTTATTAGTTGTATGTCACAAATAACAGCCGATCAGCACTGATGGATGAATGTTTGCTACACAAACAGATTTTTCAGCCACTATCAGTCTGTCTCATTTTGACACCAACAGTTTAATTTTTACTGCAAACACACTGTTTCTTAATGACTACTAATATTGGCTTTTTAAAAACCACGTCAATCGTCCGTTATTTTCTTCATTTACAGCGCAGGGAGACGCTTTCCCCTCCAACAGGTGAACGCAAAACCATCAAACTGCAAACAGAGAAGCTCCCCGGCGGCTCAGAGCTGACTGTCATTCACGTTTAGGTGGAGCCGTCGGTCAGTAGTAAAGAGCTGACCGTCCGAGTGAAGGAGATAATGATGTGGGCCGAGAAAAAAAGCACAAATCTATCAGAAAAACATCCACGGGAAAACTCAGCTGTAG